AGGTGCACCCACAATCACTCGCGCGGCTGCGTTCTGGATTAGCTGAAGTCGCCGGATGCTCTTCAAGGTCAGCCCCATGTAGAGCACATTGCATTACTGTTATTAAACAGTAAAAAGGATAATCTCATCAACAAGTTCTAGATAATTTTCTTACTCCCTTATATAACAAATGTTTCCACTTTTCTCCCCTTTTTTCCTAGCTTGTTCTACATTATCTTTATATTAGAGAAATACTGCTGAAAAAGCCTTTTCTTTTCTCTAATTTGGAACTGAAAATGCAGTTTTGATATCTCCATTCATAGTTATTCATTATATAACTATTAAGAAAGCTTTATAAATATTTATATTTGTGTAAAACATATGTCCAAGCCAGTGCTTCCCAACTTTGGTAACTTGAAAATGTCTGGACTTAAACTCCCCAGCAAATGCTGGCTGGGGAATTCTGGGAGTTGAAGTCCAGATATCTTCAAGTTGCCAAGGTTGGGAAACACTGGTCTAATCATATTTAGCCTGTAACTGCTAAAAGAAGAGACAAGATAATTGTCATAATTCACCTGCACCAATTTCTCTGCTTCTGAAAAGTTACTCCAACTGGTAATGAATATAAAAAATCGCAGGCTCTTCCACAAATGGAGGAAGCCCTTTCTTCTAAATAAAGGCGAATCCAGACAAAAGGAATTGAAAAAATAAAATTAGGACACCAATCTTTACTTACCAAATAAAATTATCATTAGTTTTAATTAAGAACATTCAAAGCTATTTTGGTTCTGAGGCATTAAAAAGAAATGGAATGGAAAATATTAAATATAATAGTCTTTCTTTAAGCACTAATAAAATAACTCTGGAAAACTATGAACTTTAATACTTGCTCATATATTTTCAAAAGAATGCTTCAATAATAAACATATGTACATCTCTTCTATTAACTGAATTATATTGCATATCACATTTAGAAATCACCCACGTCCCTCACAGAATGACTCTGGGTAGTGTACAAGTATGAGATAAAATATCCAAAGTTGTATGTATATTTTATATTAGTAGGCAATTAAAACAAGGAGAGAATAATGAAAATTAAACATTAAAAAGGCGGGGGAAGAGCCTTCAAGGCCTAACCAGCCTCATGACTGCATGCTCCTCCGTGGGCCCCATGCAAGTCAACAGAGAAAGGTATTTAGACACTTCCAAGGTCAAGAAAGTGGAGGCCTGCCTCACTTCTGGGAGTATGTTGCCCAGCTCCCTGCCCCGCCATGTCCACTTATGGCAAGACAGGTGTCTATTCAAACCCCCCAAACAGGTCCTCAGAAAGCACCCCTTTTGCACAGGTCCAGATTCCGAGGTCAGTCCAGCAAGAGTCACTGGGTTATTGAGTCCAAGGAAAGCAGGCCAGGAATGAAATAGGCCAGGATGCACAGCACAGGAACACAAAGCACAAGTCTGAGCATGTTGCTCCAGCAACACTCAAGTCCTCAGGGCAAGATTATGTAGGCAATGCTGGTACAAGCTCTTCATGAGAGTTGAGGTAGCCTCCTTGCGAGTAGTCTAGCTGACCGGCATTGTGACAGTCTCCTCTACATGTCCTAGGATCAGGAGGAGGTGGTGTGGACTCCACCTCCACCGCATTTCTAATGGGTGGCAGCTGCTCCCGGTCCTGGTCTGGAGACTCCTGGCCAACTTCCTGGAGCTGTGGGTCACCTCACTCAGCTGTTGCTCATCCAACTGACCCAGCTGAGGCTGCTCCATCAGGCTGGCATTCTCTGAGTCCCGACCCTGACCGATACTCAGCTCCAAACTTTCCTCCGCAGACTCAAACTCCTCCTCCTCCTCTGAACTCGCATCTGGATAGGGGGTCGAGGGGGCGGATCCATGATGGGTGGGGAAGAGCATGGGTGGATCCAAAGGGTGGGATCATGGGCAGAGAAGGCTCCTTTCTAGACCCCACCAGGCAAATTCTTTAAGGGGGGGGCCCTGCAACATACCGTACCTTTCCTTCCTCACCGAATGGGACAGGCAAATGTAATGGGGCAAAGATGGTGAGGCTTTAAAAGTCATAGCCAGCACCTTGAATTGGGGGCAGAAGCAAATGCAGCAGATGCAACAGAGGCGTTACATGCATTGTCCTTGGGGTGCCCAAGATTGCTTGTCTGGCCGCATTCTGTACCAGCTGAAGCTTCTGGATACTTTTCAAGGGTGGCTCCATGAAGAGTGCAATACAATAGTCTAGATCAGGGATGTCAAACTGGCTTCATCAAGGTGTCATCACGTGACGTATCTTGACTTTTCCTCCTTCCGCTAAACCAGGCATGGGCGTGGTCAGAGCATGACGCATTAGGGCCGCGGGCTATGAGTTTGACACCCCTGATCTAGATGGAATGTGACCAGAGAGTGTGTGAGTAAGCTAAGAGCTGTCTGAAAAAGGACATAGGTGCCAAGCAACATAAAGTTGAGCAAAGGCCCAATTACAATTTGAATAAAGTTATAAATCACCTAATTTGCTTACGAATCACAATACAATTGTAATACAATACAAAAAGGTATAAAAAAATCTAAATGTCTAAAAAATATAAAGCCACAAGTCTGTAACTGTAGATGATTTGCTGTTAGATGTTTCATACCACATTTTAAAATCTAATATTTGAACATAAAGTAGGGAAAACCGAGAGGTAGGTAGGTATACACACACATGTGCACACACGCACACACACACACAGAAGATAAATAATGAGACCCAGGAATTCCACTTAATTTGTTTCTTCCTATGGTCGGTGACTTACAGTGCTCTCCTGTAAACGTAATATGGAAATAAGTCCAATCAGGTAATTTCCTCTCAGATAATTGGACCACGAATTAACACAGCAAGGGATAAACTGGTTCATAAAAAAAATGTACCTATTAATTCATATCATTCATACAGAAATGAAAGAAACCTAAGTATTTAATATTTGTTAAGCATGCAGAACAGCAGCCATCTGGATTGATGACAGAATTTTCTTTCTCAGAATCAGAAGAAACCGGAAGGGAAAAAAAAGGACCTGACTCAATAATGCCACAAGTATTTTTATAACTTTTAAGACTAATTTTAAGCAAACTTAGAATTCTACAACACACGGGAAATACATAACAAATTGCATAATCAATTGGGAGGGGTTTTTTTGGCCATAGTTCTGAAAGCAAACACACTACAGGCAGTCCTCGGGTTACAACCACTTGTTCAGCAAAGTTACAACAGCACTGAACAAGTGGTATTTAGTACTCAAATTTCCATCTGTTGCATTGCCCCATGGCCCATGTGCTCAGGATTTGGGTGCCCGGCAACTGGTACCCATTTTTGACAGGTTTCAGTATCCCTCAGTCACCTGATCACCATTTGCAACTTTCCCTGCGACTTTTCCACAACAACCAATAGGGAAGCCAGCAGGGAAGGTTGTAAATTGCTTTCACCACTTTTTCTCCTGAGACCTACTACAATATGTACTCTCTGTAACAACTTCTAATCTGCATTTGCTAGTGGTTATCTGCACTCTTTAGTGCCATGATGGTGAGCCTATGGCAAATGTGCCACAGTTGGCACGTGGAGCCCTCTCTGCGGGCACGTGAGCCGTTGCCCAGCCCAGCTCCACCAGGCGTGCCTGATTTTTGTATCTCTGTCATGCATGAGGGAAACGCACGCACATGCGGGGGGGGGGGGAGGTTGCACGCATATGCACAGGGGGTGCCCCCCCCTGCAGCCCATTTTTGGAGGAGGCTTCAGGGAGGCCTACTAGGCCCAAAAAGGGGTGGGGGGATTGCACACATGAAAGGTGGGCTGACAGGGAACCACAGGGGGGGGGGGTNCCCCCAGCCCTCAGGAGTACTCTACAAGCCTCCTAAAGGCTATGCATGCCCTTTTTTGACGAAAAATGGGCTGTTTTTGGGAGGTCTGCAGAGTGCAAAACCTATTTAAAAAATCGGCCTCTTCAAAATCTTGGTGGGTCTTATACTCAGGTGTGTCTTATACTATGAAAAATACAGTAATTTCTAAGCATGAAAAAAATGATACTATATCAAAGTACACAATCAAAATTGTGGAAAACAAGAGAGCATCTGCTAATTCAAATAGTTTGAAAGCTAAAAAGTGATTAACCAAGTCAGGTGAGCAAAGCTAATCCAAACTGCCATAGTATTAGGAACACAGCATTACATTCCTAATAAAACTCCCATCAGAGCAGTGCATATTTCTTACTGGATTATCGTATTGTGGGGAATTTTAAATGATTACCCCCCAAATCTCAGAAGATTAACACTACTGATTTAACACATTATAATGGCCCAACAAAAGATCACAATTTGAAAAATTGTGCGTTAAACACTAGTATGTAATTAATGGCAGCTCAAAGAAATTTGAAAGCATTCAGAGGTTAATTTTTCACAGAAATTTCTTACCACTAAGCAGTTCTATCCAGTTTTGCACTGTTTCTGGAGGCTGAGTCTCTTTAATGTGCTTCAAAGCTTCGTCAAGTAGAACATCCCCTGTAGGAGCATCTGATTTGCAGATCACCTGATTGGAAATACGATAGATAAAATGAGCACCTCAAATTTTAATTTCTTAACATCAAGTACAGAGAACATGGCTAAACACCATATGGCTTTTTACAATTAAAGGGTTAAACACTGCAGGCTGTGACAAGTGTCTTTTCACTTTTCACAATCAAAACTCAGTATCTTCTGCGAGCTATGAAATTCATGACACAATTCTGTAGATCATATGAAGAATTTAAATGAAGAATAATTATTCCAGATTACTAGAGGGTGGTATTAACAATCACAGAGAAACAGAAATCCATGTCAATGCAGAGACACAGGAAGGAATGGTTAGGATAATTAAACTCAGTATGAGTCTTTCAGATATATCCCTGCGTTGATCAAACAAAAAAAGGTGTCAGGAAGCAAAGCAATTAAAGCCACTGCTATCTAGTCAGCGCAGATTTTAAAAAAGCAGAGAACATTACTGATAAATGCAAAAAACAATTGTATGGATCTTAAAAGGAATATGTAAGTAATTGGAAAGAGAATGAAAAGCAACTATGGATAATGGCTCTTGCTTAATCTGTTCAATGCCAAATCCACTCTCCGTTTGATATTAGACAAGTGTCAACTGTTTGAGGTAGTCCATAAAAGAAGCACCAATCATGATTACCAACACTTCCCAAAAAATGGGGGAGAGGAGCAGTCTTTTCTAAGATGCTGCCTCCCCCCTTCTGTAGAGTGCAATACCTTTTGCATAATGGTTGTCCTATCTATTCTACAGCTTTTCCTCCTGTCTTCTAAGGTAATTTTCATTCTTATAATTCTCATTCTCATACTATTACACCAAATATAGAGGATGTACAGTTCCAACAGGGTGAATAGGATCAAAGAGATCCCAATAGAGCTCATAAACATTCTTGCCGGGGCCAATCTTTCTTCCTAAATAAAGAAAATATCTTGTATCTCAGGGTTGTCAAACTCACGGCCAGCTGGTTGGGTGCATCACGTGCTGGCCATGCCGATGCCTGGTTTAGCAAAGAGGGGGGAGTTGTGATACGTCACATGACGCTGCCAAGATGACATGAGTTTGACACCCCTGTTGTATCTGATCAGTTGTTAATTTCACATTCTATAATCTCACTTAAAAGTCCAGTTAAACTTCTAAAAAGCAGCAAATGATATAGGCAGAGTATTTCTCAGGATGGCAAATACGGAGAAAGGAAGAACTTATCTTCCCCCTCAGTACAAGAAGGTGTACTCTCACTACAAAGGGGGGGGGCTTTTGGATACAAAAAAATGGATACAAGCAGAGAGATTTAAAAAGCAAACTGCAACATCAGCTGGAACTATTGAGGGATTATAAAATGGAGGGCATGAATGGAATGCATGATATATGAAAAAGTACCCACCAAACAAAACATTTTGCTTCAAACTCAAAACCAAAGCAATAATACCTGAAGATTTTTGAGACCGCATTCCAGCTAAATAAAATTCAAAATATTTTAAGCATTCCAGCTATAGGGAAAAAAACAGAGAATGCAAAACAAGTATTTTGTTCTTTATTCCAGAGCCACCGAGGTAAGTGAGCTCACAATCTTGGGCTGCTATTTAGCAGGCACTTAAACAACTAGCTCCAAATTAAGTGAGGGGAGTATTTTAGAATACATTAAACATACATCAGGATTAGAACAGACACTGAAGTTTGATTAGAAAAAACAAAACTACTATATTTGTATATGTTTTTTTTAAAGCTTCAACACAAAAGTTTAACTGCAATCCTCAAGGTGAAACACTTAAAATGATCAAACTTTGTTCTGAGGTTAGAACAAAATAGAATTGCAGCAGCTGAGAGAGACCTGCTTCAAGGATGGTGTATTTAACACACTTCTAGAGAATTACAACTCTAATGAAAATGCATGGCATTTAGTTTAATTAAAAATACTGCTGACTATTGAGGTCCCTCAACAATTTATAATTAAAACAATTATTGTCCACTGCAGAATCACTTTTCCTCCTGGGCATACCAGAACAGATTCAGGTCAGACTAAATAAACCCAAATATGAATAGAATATTTGTAAATGCTTACAAGGAAAGTGGAAAAATAGATGCGAGACTCAATATAAAGGAAGTAGGTTAAGGCCAGAAAGAAACATTACAAACATTACAAGGAAAGTCTACATGAAAAGATGAATGATTACAGATGTACCGTATTTTCACCCATATAACCCGCCCACGCAAATAACCCGCCCACGCATATAACCCGCGGGTTTTCCGGATCGTGTAAAATATCTTCCGTATACCCCGCTCACGCATATAACCCGCCCACGCATATAACCCGCGACGAGTAAGAGAGAAGGGAAACAGCTGAGANGGGGGGATTGCACACATGAAAGGTGGGCTGACAGGGAACCACAGGGGGGGGGGGTTGTGTGTGCATGCACAGGAGGGAGGGGTGTATTGCATTATGGGTGTGGGCACATACGTTGTCACACACGCAAGATTTTGGCATGCAAGGACAAAAAGGTTGGCCATCACTGCCTTAGTGCGTGCCTGCCTTCAGTGCCCCCCTCACCAGTTCATGCTGCCTAGCACTCACCTGAGGCCCTACCCAGTCAACATGTACCTCCTAGCACCTGCTCACAGCATCCCTTCAGCTCCATAATGTCTGCCTGAAAGACCCTCCTGCAGCACCCACATTTACCTCTTCACTACATGCCTGGGACTCCCACCTCTTCCCATTTAGCAACCTGCACAGTTCGAGGATTACAATGGCAGCCAGGAATGCAAGGACTGCTCTTGATAAGCACATAGACTTTACGATCATCAAACTTTACAATCATTCGTGACATCACTTAGCTTCAGAAATCCCAGCCCCAAATGCTGTTGTAACCGGAATGCTACCTGTACTTATTAATATGTTACAAAGTTTCATCTTCTAATTTTAGTCCTACTTCCTGCTGTGAACTGAGAAGACATTAGAAGCTTCACTTTGATACAACATGTACATACAAATATTGAGTCCTGAATTTGGGAACAAGCATTTCAACTTTTCACCTACCGACATGACAGTAACATCCAACAATATTAAATTATCTTAAATATAACAGTGATCGTTTATATTTTGAACTCAAAATGGCTTTAACGCACAAAAAAACTCAATTTGTTTGTATTAGAAACAAATAGCACATCACTATTGAAATAATATTAATAAACTGAATTGTATATCCGAAGATATCCAAGATATCTAAAGGCAAGTTTTAATCTGAAACAAACCAAGAAAAATGCTTTTACTTTAAGTAGGTATAATCATAACCTATTGGGGTGGAAAAACTCCTTTACATAAATCATTCATCTCTAAAATAAACTATATTTACTCTTTCATTTTTCTACACAAATGTTATAATATAAAACAGGAGTGTCAAACTTAGATCTGGCCCATGGGACCACCCTGAAAAGAGCGAAGGACTGTCCACCGGTGCCTTGGCCCATCCCAGGCCAACCAGGTACTGATCTACAACCTGGGGCGGCTGGCAATGTGTTGTAGGAGGCCGGGGTAACCGAAAATGGAGCTCAGGCCGAATGTGCGCACCCCTCACAAGCTGTTTCGTTGGCAGAGTGCTGGAGGAGGCTGTGGTTGCCAAAAATGGGTTCCCCAGCCCCACCCAGGCGCCCCCAACACTATCTATCTATCTATCTATCTAATCTATCTAAATATCTATATCTATATATAATTAGGGAGACTTTATTTATTTATTATATATTACATATAATATATATTATATATAATATATAATAAATAAATAAAGTCTCCCTTTATTTATTTATCAGCACAAAATACAGCACAAATGTAACAAAAAGGCAACAGTAAAAATATTGGGTTTCTGTCTGGATGGTCTCTTATGACGAGCCGATGGAAGCATATCATATAATACTGGGCTAGAATAAATAATTAGAAGAAAAATTAGATCAACAAGTACAAAAGTCACTGTGCTGTGCTGCTTAATGTTAACAAACTAAGATAATATCAGCAGGAAGTATCCACATAATACAAATAGGCAGAGAAGAAACTGAATTTATTCTAGGCTTTTATCTTCCTAAGATCCCTTTCTTCAATTTGGGAGATTTTTCTATGTGGGGGAAAGGCTATGACACATCTAGACAAAATATTTAGTGCAGAGAAATAACATTAACAGAGAAATGAGTACTGATAGCTTTTTAGTAATGATGGAGAAAATTGAGAATATTTCATACTTCAAGAAGAAATAATTCAATTTTATATGAAATATAATAAAAGCCTGGTCCACAATTTGTTATGATTGAAAGAATCAAAACTCTACATATAATCAATAAAGGATTAGCATTTTATGCTGTCCTTTTTTGTAACTGGAATATACATCTATCTTTTCCAACTGTTTTCCATACATGCTCGAAAACGTCAAGTACCACTTCAGCTGCATCATACTGTAGGATTTTAAACAAATATCCTGGTATTTCATCAATTAAATCAGTTTTGATGCTAGTAATATTTTCTAATTACAATCAATGTCTGGTTTTAGTCCGTGTATAAAACTTCACATTTATTAATTTTCCCATATACTAATATCTATTCTTTTATACCATTTCCAGTAATTTTTGCTTTCTTTCATTTCTGTAGTCTTTTTAAAAACTTCTTGTACTTCCTCTTCAATTGCTATTTTTATTACTATACATTGCATATTTAAATGTAACTTCTTCTCTTGTGTTGATTTTCTTTTAAACTCAGTTTACACAAATTTTATTGTCTCTTTTGCAAGTTTTCAAAACTCCACCAGACAGCAATTTTTACTCATCCCCCCCCATATTTTTGTTTGCTTCATTTTTAATTATGCTTTAAATTGTAGTTTAGAGTTGTTCAAGTACTTATGTGTCATGTCTAATCTATTAAATCTATTCTTTACCTTCAATTGATAATTTGCTGAAGTTGTATCTTCTTAGCCTTTATTTTTTTAGCTGTAATTTTGTAAGAGGGGGTTTCATAATTCTGAGCCATAGTCTTTCTGCTGACTAAATAGAGCCTCTTTATCTTTGCTTGCAGTTAATAATCAATCTGATTTCAGTATTGTCCATCTGTGTAGAGTCATAGCAGAGTTTCTGAAAAAGGCATTTGCTGTAACACTGGTGGTTTTTTTTTGGCAAATTCTATTGGTTTTGTACAGAGCTAAATGTTCCTCTTAGCCCAGATGCTATTCTACTTCCACGGTAGCATTTCCATCTTACATAACATCTTTTTTGACTGTTGTGCTAGCAAAATGTTTCAAGTCATCAGAGTTATTCGGTTTCTACTTTCCAGCATCTGTGATTTAAGTATCAGTGTAATACTGATTGGCTTGCCTTAAATGCAAATTAAGATTATTCTATTATTTTCTGGGTTATATGCAAGCACTGACTTTAAAATATTTTGTTACTTCACACACCTATGGTAGGTGTGTGACCATATAGACAATAGTTTTAAGGGTGTATGGCTGACTAAGTCTATAAATTAAATGATACTTATTTTTCATTACAGTAGTCCTTAACGTATGATCAGCTGCTCAGTAAATGTTCAAATTTACAATGGACTCCTCAGGGTTACTCAAAGACCTGGATTCTAAGTTCCACAATTCCCCTTGTCCCAGGGCATATGATTGCATTTTGGGTGCTCAGCAACTGACCCATATTTAGTTCTGTTTGCAAGTGTCCTGCAGTCACATGACTGGCATTTACTTCCATGTACATTGCGGACAATGGAACTGCAAACATGTTAATGTTAATTGCAGCATTTACTTAACAACTCCTGCAAAGTTATAAAAGTGGATATAGTCACATGGTGACTTGTTAACAACTGGAACAAAATACAACTATAATTTTGAGATCAATTACAGTCCTAAGTCAACGGCTACTTGCATTACTATTAGCCATTTGAGCATTATTCTACATTATGGAAGTTAAAATTTCTATAGCGACTTCAAACATAATTAAATTTATATCCCAAGAGAGCTTAGTGAGGCCAACTGTATTTTAATATGTATCTATTGAAAATTTTCATTTACAAATGCTTTTAAAATTCTGAACTCCAGAATATTTAACTGTGCTTTATAAATACTATTTATTGTGAGAAAAGAGAAGGAGCCTTTACTTTTACATATTAAACGTAATTCAATATTAAATTGCAAAGCAATTAATTTTAAGGCAAAAGTGTAATAACAACTTTATATATATAATGCAGAATGTTAAACACTATCTTGCCTGCACAAAAGTTGACAAAAGGACAAAAAGTGTTCTCCATTCCACTAGATGTATATCTAAAATCTTGCATGACTACATCAATACTATATACTATATCAGAAGTTTTAATCAAACAACATTCCATTCTGATTCCATATTCAGAATTACTGCTAAACTCATCATAGATACCGATGGTTCACACCAGGAATCCTTCTATCACACCTGGATGAAAACTCTGCAGCGAAGACTGCTTTTGTGAATCTTTGTTGTTAATGGTACTGCAGCTAGTCTTGCAAAACAACAGATCAGAAATAAAATTGAATACTCGTATGAGAACTATAAAAAGAGTACAGCTTTATCATACATTAATTTGATCTAAATTCAGATGAGTATCAATGGTTTATAGCAGGCGTGTCCAAACTTGGGAACTTTAAGACTTGTGGACTTCAACTCCCAGAATTCTGGGGAGAATTCTGGGAGTTGAAGTCCACAACTATTAAAGTCCCCAAGTTTGGATACCCTTGGTTTATAGTTGTCTATCTTTTGAGATATCTGTAAGCAGCAACAATTATTGAGTCAGTCATCTTTTAAGCAAGACAGTAACAGCTCTTTGAAGATAATGCTTTATCTTCAATTTGTACCTTATCTGACAAACATGGCTGCCTCTTTCCAGCAGGACTATTATTTGGTAGCTACAGAACACTATCCATTGTTAAAGTTGTAACTCAGAGGAGACAATTAAGTTTTCCAGCTTAGATTTGGAAATCTTTACCATCTTCAAATCAAGGTGACATGGCAAGACATACTGTTTGCCTTTATTGAAGTGGAATTGAATTTCCTAACAACAAATGATATCATAGCATAAGACTGCAGCCTACACCCTACCTCATCACAAGAAGTTGATTCTTATCCATGAAGTTTGTACCATTAAAAATGTATTATAAAGATACCAACAAGACATTATTATTAAGTTGGGTTTAATGCAACAGGTTCCAGATTTGCTTTTTCAAATATAAATTTAATAAATTGTAAATATACTTAATAAAACTTTCCTTTCTAAGAAAAGCATATGAGGTTTGTGGCATTTTCTACATATCTAAATAGCAATGTAATTAATTGTTTAATGATTAAGTTTGTTCATATAATTTCCAACTGTTCTTTTTCTTAGGCACACTAATTACATTAGTGTAACAAAGTGCCAACTTCTATCTCACAATTCTAAGGGATCTATACAATTAAAAGAGACTGAGTAAGAAAGGGACATACAAATAGTGAATTTATTGTCTCAAGTGTTATGGCTTGTACTAGCATGTCAGAGCAAAAACTGTGTTAATTTTGAATAGTGGAAGACAACCAGGGGTGGGTTTCTCGCCCCGTTCCAACTGGTTCGGTTGGAACGGGGTCGGCGTCCTCCTCGTGCACACGCACAATGCACGTATGCATACTAGCGCCTGTGCGATGCTCCAGCTGCTCCTGGAGGATAGCGCAGGCGCTGTATGCGTTCTGCGCATGCGTGGAAGTGCAGAACTCGTCAAAACCGGGTAAGAAATGCGGGCGGGCGGATCCTTCGGCGTTCCCAGAAGTTACTTACTGCCGGCTTTGCCGACCAACCGGTTCGCGGGGACCGCCGCGAACCGCCTGAAACCCACCCCTGAAGACAACTAAAATAAGAAACATATAAAATAATCATCTCTCTCTCTCTCTCTCTCTCTC